AAAAAAAAAAAAAGATTAAAAAAGAAAAATAATCAGAACTGGGTGCCCGTGGCTCACGTCTGTAATCCCAACTACTCAGGAGGCTGAGATCTGAGGATTCAAAGCCAGCCCAGGCATAAAAGTCCGTGAGACTCTTATCTCCAATAAACCACCAGAAAACCGGAAGTGGCACTGTGGCTTACGTGGTAGACCACTAGCCTTGAGCTGAAGAGCTGAGGCACAGCATCCAGGCCCAGAGTTTAAGCCCTACAACTGACAAAAAAATAAATGAATAAATAAAAATAGAACTACTCTGCCACTAGCCATGACTTCAATAAGTTACAGATTATAATTTTTTTTAATTTTTATTTATTTTTTTGGTGGGGCTTGAACTCTGAGCCTGGGGGCTGTCCTTCAGCTCTTCAGTTCAAGGCCAGCACTCTACCACTTGAGCCACAGCACCACTTCCAGTTTTTTAGTGGTTTATTGAAGATGAGTCTCACAGACTTTCTTGCCTGGGCTGGCTTTGAACCACGATCCTCAGATCTCAGCCTCCTGAGTAGCTAGGATTACAGGCATGAGCCACTGGCGCCCAGCACAAAATAATAATTATTATTATTTTGCCAGTCTTGGGTCTGAACTCAGGGCCTAGGCACTGTCCCTGAGCTTCTTTTTGCTTGAGGCTAGCAGTGTACTACTTGAGCCACAGCACCACTTCCAGCTTTTTCTATGTATGTGGTACTGAGGAATCAAACCCAAAGTTTAATGAATGCTAGGAAAGCAATCTACCACTAAGCCACATCCTAGCCCTTATTTTTTTAATTTTTGAGATAGGGTGTCCTTATAGGTCCTATCTTAACCTCCAACTAGCAAGCCTCCTGGGCCTCACCTCCCCAAATTCTGGAACTACGGACATGTACCAACAAACCTAGCTAAGAAGAATACCTTTAGGGAGTGGAAAGTTTTTTGATGTGTGTATGTGTGTGTGTGTGTGTGTTAGAGATATAACTTAGGGCCTAGGTGCTCGCTTTTTCATACAGAACTGGGGCTCTGCCACTTGAATTACCCCTCTACTTCTGGCTTTTTGGATTTATTGGAGATAAGAGTTGCATAGACTTTCCTGCCAGGTTGGCTTCAAACCATGATCCACAGATCTTGAGTCGCTAGAACTATAAGCATAAGCTACTGGCCACCCAGTTTATGAACTAAAAGTTTACTGAAGAGGGCTGGGAAGGTGGCTCAGTGGTAGAGCGCTTGCCTTGCATGCATGAGGCCCTGGGTTTGATTCCTCAGCACCACATAAGCAGAAAAATCTGGAAGTGGTGCTGTGGCTCAAATGGTAGAATGTGGTAGAATGTGGCTCAGGTGGTAGAAGTGGCAGAGTTCAAGTCCCATGACCAACAAAAAAAAAGAAAAGAAAAAAAAAGAAATGAAAAACAAATGCATATACATTTGATTATAACAAGATTAAATTTCTGGGCTGGATAAGTGGCTTGCTGATAGGACTGCTTGCCTAGCTTACCCAAGGTACTGTGTTTAGTCCTCAGCCCTGAGAGCAGTGGGGGAAGGAGGAAGATGTTTAAGGGATGTTGGCAATTGAATCAAATCAGAATATGGAGAAGTTAATGTCAGCTACAGGGTGGGTAGCACAAGAACCATACCTAATAGGGATTAAACTGGCAAGGAGTGATAGGTTTTATATGTTTGTGGCTCACTGAAAATATGAGGATTTCCTTAATATCCCTGGTCACAAGTTTAGTAACCTTACTTATATAGTGTAACCATTTGGTGGATCTGCTTTTAATTTGAACTAGGGTTACTAATTCATTAAATAAATTAAAAAGAACCATGAGAAAAATAGAGGGCAGGGATGGGGTGTGTGTAACTCATGTTCTAGAGCACTTACTTACCTAGGAAGTCTTAGGTTGAATCCTCATTACTAGAGATGGAGAGAGGGATATTTGTATACCCATTATTCACAGTAGCTAACCACAATAGATGAAAGAAAGAAAACAGTCCAAATGTGTATTTAATGAATAAAATGTGATACATATATATGATAGAATTTTACTGGATCCTAAAGGAAATTCTGATACATGTTAAACAAGTATTGTAAGATTCCACTTATATGACTTAACTTAAATAGTTAAATCCAGAGACAGAATATAGAGTAGTTATTGTTAGAGGAAAAGGAGAATGGGGGCTGGGAATGTGGCTCAGTAGTAGAGTACTTGCCTCACGTGCATGGGGCCCTGGGTTTAATTCCTCAGTATCACATGAACAGAAAAAGCAAGCCGGAAGTGGTGCTGTGGCTCAAGTGGTAGAGTGCTAGCCTTGAACACACAGAGGCTCAGGGACAGTGCCTAGGCACTGAGTTCAAGCTCCAGGACCGGCCCACAAAAGGGAGAATGGGAGTTATTGGTAAATAGGTATAGTTTGTTTTGCAATGAGAAAAGAGTTTGGCTGCCTAGCACATTAATGTACTTTACTGAACTATACATTAAAAATGGTTAAGATGAGCTGAGTGCTGGTGGCTGAATTGCAGAGGATCTAGGATTGAGACCAGTTTGGGCAGAAAAGTTTGTGAAACTTCATCTCCAAAATAACCAACAAAAAGCCTGGCTGGAGTATGGCTGAAGTGGAACTCACTAGGCAGATGAACAAGCTGACAAGCTTGAAGCCTTGAGTTCAAACCCTGGTACAGGCAAAATGGAGTAAGATAAAGGTGGTAAAGATGGTAAATTTGTGTTGTGCTTTTACCATTACTTTTTAAAAGACAACAAAATTTGGAAACATGCTACAAAATGACATGAGCTTTGAAAACATCATGCTGAAATAAACCAAGAATAGCACAAATACTGTAGGATTGCATTTGTATAAAATATCTAGCCCAGCAGCTGTGGCTAACGCCTATGATCTTAGCTACTCAGAGATTTGAAGGTTGTAATTCTAAGCCGCCCTGGTAGGAAAGGCCATGAGACTCTTAGCTCCAATTAACTCAGAAAAAGTTGGGCCTGTAGCTCAAATAGTAGAACATCAGCCCTGAGTAAAAAAAAAAAAAAAAAAAAAATTAAGGAAGCTGGGTGCCTGTGGCTCACGCGTGTAATCCTAGCTACTCAGGAGGCTGAGATCTGAGGATAGCTGTTCAAAGCCAGCCCGGGCAGGAAAGTCCGTGAGACTCTTATCTTCAATATCTTTGAAAACCGGAAGTGGTGCTGTGGCTCAAGTGGTAGAGCACTCGCCTTGAGCTGAAGAGCGCAGGGACAGCGCCCAAGCCCAGAGTTCAAGCCCCATGACAAACCAAAAAAAAAAAGCAAAAAAACCCCCTAAGGAATAGCACCTAGGCCCTGAATTCAAGCTTCAGTACTAGCATACTAAATAATAATAATAAATAAGTAAAATATCTAGCCAGTGGCGCAGTTATAATCGTAGCTTCTCAGGAATCTGAGGATTGAAGTTTGAGGCCAGGTTGGGCAGATTCTTACCTCTAATTAAATTAACCAGCAAAAAAATGTGGGCTGGAGGCATGGCCTCCTGTAGAGCTCAAGCAGTGAGGGGGAAAAACAAAGCAAAAAACCCCCAGCAAGAGCATGAAGCCTTGAATTCATGCCCATCCCCCCTCCCCAGCAAAATGTAGAATAGGTAAATCCATAAAGATAGAAAGTAGATCAGAGGCTACCAGGAGCTGATCAGAGAGAGGAAGGGCAATGAGAAGTTAGTGTTCAGTGGACACAGTGATAAGCCTAAATGTAACTCTTCTTTTCCCTACATTTCTATATTGACACCTTAACTAGCCCATTTTGCTACTATTAAGAGTAGAGCTGTTGAGGGGTGATTAGGTCATGATGGCTCTACCCCATGTTTGGAATTAGTGTTTGTTTGTTTTTAAAGGGGTCTGAGAAAGTTAATGAAAAGTTTTGGCAACATTGGCAGTGGTGATTACATACATTGTGAGTATAATTGGTGCCACTGAATTACACATTTAAGAGATGTAGCTCTGTGACAGAGTGCTCACCTAAGTGCTCATCCAGGTTCATTTATAGGGGAAAACAGAGGAAGGAGGAAGGAAGGAAAGATTATGACTGTGTGTGTGTGTGTGTGTGTGTGTGTGTGTGTGTGTGTGTGTGTGTGTGTGTGTGTG